TATCAATATGCTTGTAATTTTAAAGATAAAATTAACAATTTTTAATGTATTTATTGTATCAAACTGTGATCCATTGTTATTCTTCATTAGGTGAAGAGTCATTGATAATCAGTACTGCTCTCTCTCGGAGTCTCTACAGTGGTAATTCTGGCTTTAAGGAAGTCTACAGGAAAGAATTATTAGAACATTTAAAAACTGACCCTCTTCTCCAAGACCTTCATGATGCTGGAATGGCCGACACCTCTTGACTCAACGCCCCCGCAATAATTGCGGATTATCCATATTTGGGATCTTGTTCTCATATATGTGACATTAGTGGTGGACTGGGGTCATTCCTGTATGCTGTACTCAGTCATTATGATTTTAAGATGAAAAGAACTAACTTTGATCTACCTGATGTCATTGATAATTCAAAGTGAGGAACTGATAGTGTTTTGTAATCTTAAACACACTCTACATGCTGTACAATATAGTGCAAAATTTTTGAGGGCTGCAAATTTCATGGATTTTGCAACTTTTGTGAATTAATTATTTCTGCAAAAATCAAATTATTTACGGTATAAGATGGCAGACACCACAAATTTGTGAAAATTAAATCTGCAAAATTTTAAAGCAAATTAGCAAAATTTACAGCCCTCAAAAATAATTTTGCACTATACAGTAGTAACAATTAATTCTAGCTTTGACAGTTACAATACACTGCATGATTGGTCTTAAAAATATTTTGTTTATTCTCTCTTCTTAATTATTAGGGATTAGTGAAAGGTATGAATGTTGAGGAACACATTTCACTTGTGTCTGCATGGTAATTTTACTGACAAGCTACCACAATTTGAGTAAGAACAATAAAACAATAATTATTAATAATAATCATCCTCTCTCTCTCCCTCTCTCAGTTGTGATTGTTATATTTTAAAGGATATTCTTCAGAATTGGTCAGATGAAGATGCTCTGCTGATATTATCTAAAGTTGAATCAGTTGCTAAGAGAAATAAGAGTCGTCTTGTGATTATTGAGAACATGATGCACACTGGACACCATGCAGAAGAGAAGGTAAGAGAGAGAGAGAGATTGAAGCCAAAGATCCTGTACTATAGTACAGGGACATTGGCATGATTATGAAGCAACTTTAAAAATTTGTAAAAAATTAAGTTTAATTGGAATCAGCTCAAACTTTCTACACATCATAAGTACATGTATATGCATCAGAAAATTTAACTAAAATGGAGAATTTTCTCCTTATGTAATTTGGCCTGTGACCCTGTACCATAGTACAGAGATTGGTCATATAATTTAGTCAAACTTGTACACTAAAACACAATATTATGTGTTTCAGTGCACAATGTTTGACCAAACTGTATGTACATGTACATGCTTGAATCTATTTCTTATTCGATCCTCCTCTTTCTCTCTCTCTCTTTCTATTTCAGTTAAAGTCATTTCTTGATCTCACTATGATGTCATTCAATCTGTCACATTCTTATCTCCGTACAGTTGAATTATTCTTTCTTCTTCAATCAACAGGTTTCACAGACCAACAGCTTTACTTCACTCATACTACCTACAACGTCATTGAAACCTATCCTAAAACTAATCAGTGATGGGTGGAGTCAGGGGCGTGGCTTTAAATCATATATACCATAAATGGAAATATTGTTAATACAATGAAATGATCATTAATGTACATGTGTTATCATCTAATTTTTGTGATGATTATTTTAAAATAATAGTTCAATGCCGTCATTGTTTAGAATTCCTGATGCATGTAAACTGTTTTTGACTTTCATTGCACTAAAAGTATTCAGCAGAGAATTTGAAGAATATGAATATTTTACAGTGAAGATGGTTTATACATGTATTATGAATTTAAGGTTGTGTGAACCTTTGCTCCTCATTTACATGTACATTGTATAAATTATTCAGAAATTGGCCTGTGCAGGTTTCTGCAAAATCTATATACATTCAATAAAATAATACACAGAATATTCTATAGACCCGTATGTCCATGCCGTGTGACTATTTTAAAATGAAAAAAGTTATTACTAATTTAAAATAATGAAAAAGTGTGGCTTTTAACACAAATATAATATCAAAATAGCAACGAGTACTAATATCAAAGAAGCAATGAAAACAAAAGCATGACTTTTACTAGGAAAAAATTTAAAACAATGGTCATGAGCTCTAGTGGTACTCTTACTCTCATCAGGTAGGGGATCATAAAGAGAATGGGCAGTGGGTGATGAAAGGAACTGCTTGACTTCAGCCTCTGCCTTTCCAAGATGATCAGGATAGTCTTGACAAACTCTTAGGATAGTCCTCCAGGTCACGTCTTTATCTCTGCGTATCCATCTCTGGAACACTTGCATGAGGTTATTAGTAGTAACCTCAGGACATGGTAGCAGGTCATCCACTCGAACTGATAATGCAATACCAATGAGTTTAAACTGAGCAGCATAACTATCAAATAGTCTAACAAGATCATTCAATTGAGGCATCTTGTCTAGGATATCTGTACAAAACAATAAAAATAATTTTAATATTTTTTTCTTTAATAACAATAGTTCCTAACTTTCATCCGATGGCTGATCATTATCATGTTTTATTTGTGTTCCATTGTTACACTCATCACGTCCTATACACAAGTGATAAATTATAAATAATAATTATTAGTATACGCATACCTTGTGCATCATTAAACCAGGTCCAGTAGTCATTGCTAAGAGCAGGAGATTCACCACAAACTGTACAATCAGCTACTTTATGGTGATCTTCATTTATAATACAATAGCAGCTCTCATTGTTAGGGCAAGCAAATGCATTGACGTAATTATGCTTGAGGTGCATGGCATCACTGCTATTATCAATAGCTGTTTTGAGTAGATTACGTACTAATGGACAGTGCTGGGTAGGACCAGTAAAGTACACTTCAATATGAGTGTAACGGTTGATGAGGTGAAGTGTGTGCTTTGATGTGATCGTTATCTTGAGGGACATGGCATCTCGAAATTTAAAATACCCTGGTGTCGACGGCGAGATTTTAGCAACGTATTCTTTCTGGTTGAGTAGGTTTACGATGGTTAAAGGAAACAATCCTGTAGGAGCTGGTAGGATCTCTTCACTCTCCTCTTCCCTCCAGACTATGAGGAGTGGCTTAGCATTAGTCTCCTTAATTGAAACTGGTTCATTGTATGAAGGAAGAGCATAAGGAATGAAGTAGTGTCCCTTTGGTTCATCTTCTAGTTTTGTGATGATGTTAAGATGAAGGAGGAGTCTGATTAGGTCAGACATCTGGAACTCTGGCAGGGAAAAGACGACAGACTTTGACTTTAAATGCTCAAAAATATTTTCATTGAAGATTCCATCCTCGAGATTATTAGTAACTTCGAGAGGAAGACGTTTGTCTAAAATTGAAGCCAAAGCATCATAGTCATCAATGTATGTGAGAGCTAATAATTGTGAGAGAATCTCGAGGATTGGCTTAGAATCAATAAAGATGACATTCGTAACTTTTGGATAATATAACATGAGACTCACATTATGGAAATATCTCAAAGCTTGTTTAGTATCTTCCTCATTCATCCCGTATCTTTCTCCAATAGATAAAGCGTCCTTAACTAACACAATACTCTGCTCGGGCAAAGATAGCTCAAAAGCAAACCATCGAATTGGTATTTTGATTTCCAGTGAAGCATCAGAACCATGACACCATATTGCCTTGCAAATCTCTTCACTGTATTTAGCTCTTTCTTCTGATGCAGCAATCGTGTTGACAGGATACATGATAGATTTTTTATGATGAATAACGCAATTTTTTAAGTAAGACTGCAGCGAAGACATTGAAGACTTTAGAATCTCTTCCTTTTCTTTTAGAGTAGCATCACTCACCTTGTCATAATGTGTTCCCAATACAAGATGCATGGAGTGTGTCGGTTTCTTGGAGATGCAGGAAATATCAAGAGGCTTAAAACTAGCTCCAGTCGAAACTGCAGACTGGAAGAATGCTAACTGACTTGACTTGGAGTGGCATGGGAAGTATTGTCCATCGATCCTGTACATCAGATCAAACCTCTCATTGAAAGGCTTCGATAGATCCAGCGTTATTATATTGAGAGAAGCTGCTCTAGTGAATAAAGGCAGTAACTCCTGGTATGCTGGCTGACCACCGGAATCAATA